AGATCAAAGCCAAGGGAGCTGCTTTTTGCGCAGCCTGGATTCTTGCAATTGAAGGCTAAACAAAGCTGAGTGGTGGAGAGAAAAATGGGAAAGTAAAGTAACACCCTCAGTACCTCAGGAGCATACTCTGAGTGCCATATATGACAGACTGTTTCACAAGTAATCAGCTCTCTGGAGAGTTACTCCTCCTTGACACCATTCCCTAGATCATCAAGGAAGTTGGAGTCAAATGCATTGATTTAAAAAGCAGATGTGAGAAAACCTCATCCCCCTTACACAACCCGTGAATCACTAGCACACAGAGAACAAGAAATCAGAATGTGGTAGGACAATCAGCAATAGGGACAGGACTGTGCTGCTGGTCTGCATCCACCTCCTCCCTCTCCTTAACATCATAAATGCAATCTTGCACAAACAGTAACAAATCAGTTAATGCCCACAGCCATCCCGGGCAGGGGCTAAAGGGTGGCGACATCACCGCTGCGGCTCCTTTCAAACAGCAGAACGGACACAAAAGCTTTTGCCGGGCACTGCCGGGGGCCGCTGGCAAGGCGAGGATCCGGCATCCGCCTGGCGCCGGCCCCGCTGCCCTGCCCCGCTGGCAAATGCACCTTCTGCGGGGCCCAGCAGAGAGCACAGGGCTGGCCCAGAGAGAAATCCAGGAGGATTTTTTATCTTGCTTCCCCTGAACTGCTCAACAACATGAATACAAAGTTTTCATGGCCAAATAAATGAGGAGGAGATTGCTGTGCTGGCTCGATGCCACAGCAGGCTGTGGGAGGAGAAGTTGCTTCATGACTCGGGTGGTGGTGCATGATGGAGAGGATGGACAGAGGGATGAGTGAAAGCAAAATTCAGACCAGTAAAACAATGCAACTGCTTAAAACAGGTTCAGCTTACCCGAAATACCCATCAGGCAGAGACTGGGAGCCTGTGTTTGAGTGTGTGCCACATGCCGGACCAAAGGAGCTCTACAAAACCTCTCAAAATCAACCTTGAAAGTTAAAAAAAGCTTCAAAACAATAACAACGAGCACAGTTTGTTCTTTCCCTTATAAGGATACCCATTTCTGGCAGTGTGCAGGGTCAGGGGATGGACAGCATGATCCCTGCAAGTGGTGGCTCAGGCCGGGACAGCCCCAGCCCCTTCCCCAGCCCCTCTCAGCTCAGTGGGGCAGGTGCTGGCTCAGCCTGCAGAGCTCCCCAGCCCATTGTGCAGGGGCTGCACGCTGCTTCTCCTGGCCTTCAGAGGGGAATTAAGATTTAATTAGTTTGTTTTCTTGTAAACTCCATCTCTACCACACCCATTTCCAGTGACAGCAGCAGCTGCAGCTGCCCTGTGCCTTCTCTCCATCACTGGGCTCAGACCACTCCTGGGCTATTACTTAAACTAAGTTTAGTTTATTGGCAAAAGAAAGGTGCTGTGAAGTGCCCAAAGGTACCACTGTGGGACACAGCTTGTGCTTGGGCCAGGGAGGGGCTTTATTTATCTGTAGGACCCTCACAGAGTGAACCCTGGGTTACAAATGAGCTTTTATGCTTTTATTGCACTAACTTGGTTTTCTATCAGCAGTGATGGGAGAAGAGGTTTGCGAAAGGTTATCAGCGTTCTGCATCTTGAAAAACTGGAAAATATCTATTTCCTGCAGACATCAAGGCTTAGACTATAAAAAAGCTCACTGAAAAAAGCTACACCATATATCTTGTATGCATAATTTTTACATATACACACAGTAACTGCCATCACAGAGCAGCCACTGTCCAAAATTCGTGGCAACAGCATTCCCAGATTATTCAACAGTGTCTCCATCCCTGTTCCTTGCTTGTATGGTTTTTTTTTTTTAATGTTTCTTTTTCCTCTTAGTGCTCCTCTAGGTCTCCAACTCATATTTATGTCAAAAAATCCCCTTAGTTCAGTTCTGCCTCCATGGCATCAGTGGGCAAAACAGAACTTGGTCTTATTGCCAACCTCAAGTCAGGCTAGTTACCAAGAGCTCCCAATTCCCACCACAGAAACCACTGATGATGTCAGATACCAAAATAAACAGAAAAGGTAATGCCATCAATAATCAGCATTTTCCTCAGAAATACTACACTGCACTTTGTGCTGACAAAACATCTCTATTTCCATTTAATTTGTCTTTCCCTCTTTCCTTTCATTCCTCTTGCCACATCTTATCTGCACCTCTTTGTATGCATGGCATTTTTGAGTGATATCCAGGTGTAGAGCAAGGTCAAGGAGATGCTGGGAAGCCTCTGGAAATGAAGCTGTTCCCAGCAGGCCTGGAGTTGACGCCCTGAGACAACAATTCACTTTTAAAAGCAAAAAGATTCAAGTAGTAGAAAGACCCAAAGTGATCATCTGCACATCCAGCACACAGCTGTAAACACATTCTGCTCAAAAGTTTTCCCTGAACATACAGATTTTCCTGTTGCTAGTGATGGTGGCAGAGAGACCCCCAGTGGCTTTGTGCACCACCAGCCACCACTTGTCACATCCCACAATCTCAGGGTCCCCCCAACAGGCAAGCAAGAAGGTTTTGGGTGAGCTGAAGGACAACTCAGCCTTTGGGAGAACAGCCTTTCTGGACAGGACGTCACCACTTCCACCAGTGTGGGTTGCAAGGATTTTGCCAAAAGTCAGGCAAACTCTGGAAGAATATTGGGGGCTCAAAAGTGGATTTGCAGCAGATAAACTATTCAGGAAGAAAAAAAAAAAGAAACTAAGAAAGAAACTAGGAGTCCTACTTATCTTACAAGAACAGACATGTACAGACATAAAGCCTGAGTGTTAATAATGCAATGGCAAATTATTTCAATAACAACAATAACAGTAATTCAAATCTCTGTGCTTATGAGCACAGAGATGCACAGAAAGCTAACACAGCAGCATGTCAAGCTATTCCCAGCCAAGAAAAACTGGAACCTCCACCTGCCCTATGAACCAGTGGTTTTCATCCAAGGAGGTGCTGCTGCAGACACAGCTCATCCCAGAATCACACAGTGAGTTGGAAGGGACCCCCAAGGATCATTGAGTCCAGCTCCTGAGGGGCTGATACAGCTGAGGCTGCAAGAATATGTGGAGTGCACACTTTGCATGTCCAGAGTGTCCTTTTTGCTGGACATGAACCTGCTGAGATTTTTCCACCTTCAAACAGCAACAGTTCAGCATTCTCTATAGCAATCCATCTGACACGCCAGGCTGAGCAAGAGGAAATATCAACAAGCCCTAACACAGATGTGCAGAAAGTAACACTTATATAACAAGGAGGGGTTTATCACGCAGTGAAAAAACAAAACATTTTGCTTTTCATGACCAGTAATGCCCTGCTTTGTTTTGCAGCTCCATCCCGGAGCTGATTTCAGCAGAGGCCAGTCCAGCAGTCCCTGCTCGAAGGGCAGTCCCACGCACGGCTCCCCGGGAGGACTGGCCTGACCACAGGCTGCCGCCCCGGCTCGTGGCACCGCGCCGCCCTGAGCACCGCCCGCCGATCGCCTTTGTTTCTGCTCCGCTGCCCCGCAGGGAGAGCCGCATTTCAACAAACACCGTGATAGCTGGAAACGCACTTCTTCAAAGGGCTGTGCAAACAGAACTCAATCCGGGCATCACCGGGAGCGGGGACAGCGCTGTTTGTACAGATGGGGGATGGCAGGCAAGGGGGTCAGGCTGCTGCCTCACCTCCGCGGGCCGGCACTCGGGGCTCACATCCCTCCTTCGGGACTCGTGAGCTCACATCCACCTGCTCCCACCGTGCCACGACGCTCCAGCAGTCCACGGGACACCCGGGGAGCACCGATCCGAGTGTCGGTGTGTGCTCCGGCTGGAGCGATCCGAGTGTCAGTGTGCGCTCCGGACTGAGCGAAGAGGAGAAGATGCAGCAGCAGCAGCGGCTTTTCCATTCTCTCCTTTGCGCGACACGGGAAGGAGAGCCGACGAGTGTTCGGGGCACGCAGGCACTGAACAAAACACAGCAGCTACACGGGCGCTGCAGAGAGCGAGGGTGCCCGCCGCGGTACCAAAGCTGTGGCTGGGCGGTGGAACCCGTGCCCCACACGCCGGGGTCGGGCACTCGCCCAGCGGCTTTTCTGGCAAGAGGTGAAATGCGCGCCGGGCACGGGCAGCCCGCCGCGCCAGGACACTTGCGGGCGCGGGACGCGAACCGGCCACCTGCGCGGCCAGGGGCGGCGGCGCTGCGGCGGCGCCACCGCGCGGAGTGAGGCCGGAGCAGCGGAGGTGCATGGTGGTTCTCGGCGCCGCCCGTTCCGTCCCCTCTGCTCGGCCGCGCTGCTCCAAGAGGGCAGGAAAAGCTCTCATCCCTCTGCCCTGCCTGCCAGAACAGCTCCTCACAGCTGCCCTCTCTCCCCTGATCCGTACGGGACCGGCCCGTGGCTGTGCAGAGGCGAGGGACTCCACTCCCTCTTTTTCACGAGCAGTTTCAGAGCACAAGAGAATGCACAAGAGCACAGAGGATCTTCCCGATGGATAAAGACTGCCCAGCACAGCGAATCGCTCAGCAAGAAGTGGGAGTGCACAGGAGAACAGGGGATAAAGACTGCCCAGCACAGCGAATCGCTCAGCATAAAGTTCACCATTTCTTTCCATCATTACCTGCAGACAATGATGCTCCCACATTCACACCCCAACCTGCTCACAAAGCTGATAATCTCCTAACCCACACACGGTGGGGTGTGCGAGATTCTCCTCTGGCACACCTTCCATTCACACTAATAGATACAGTAAACCGGAAAAATGAAGTAATAGAGAGAAAACATTATATAAAAAAAGACAATTACCACCTACCTCTGCCAACAGCCTACCTGGACAGGCAACAGCAATACCAGCAATCCCCCTTGTAAAGCTCCAAAAGAGGAAATTTACAGCAGACTTCTTGCCTAAAGCAGAAGTTTCTCAGTAGAAAACTACTCTGGATTAACCAATTTTATATTTCTTTCAGACAGTGCTATTGACTGAGAGTAAAAAAAGACAATTTACTACCAAAAGAAAATAAAACCGATTTATATTAGTGTATTCCAGCATTGCCCATGTTCCAGAATTCAGTTCTGAAAATTTTCAAGATGTGTTGAGTGGCTTATAACAGATTTAAACCCTTTGTTGTAAAGTCTTCTGAGAAAAACAACACACTTGTTTTTCTCAGTTACCTTTTGTAGATGCTGTTCTGTAGTCTCTGAAGTAAGAACCTCCCACAAATTTATGGTCTACAGGCCAAGAAAGATTGCTCTGGATGATTCTAACCACACACAGATGAATAGAATGACACTGTGAACTACTTTGTATTAGAAATATTTAACATTTAGGACAGAAGTGACCTCTAATTGTTTCTCTCTTGGCTGAGCCCCAATCTCACAATTACTTCAGTTACTTGATGACACTTAAAACTCTTTCAAGTTTATTTATTTGAAGACACAGTTATCAAAATACTGATCTGCGAAATAAAACCAACTAGAAATATAAATAACCCTCTTTGCAAAACCTACTATTTCTCCATCCCTAACCCCACTCTCTTCTACCCAATCATGGATCTCTTCCTTCCCCTTAGCCGAACCTCATCCAGCTTTTTGATCACAGGACCTGATTTTTTAGACGTGGCTGCGTAGGTCTTTAGCAGAGCTTGGAACATTGCTTCAGTATCTGGATGAGTGCTAATGAAGGCTTTTTCCAGAACATACAAATCAACTCCTTTATCCTCTGGAAGGCCTGAAATAAAACTGAGTCCAAAGTCTATCAACACCAGGTCCAGGTTCTCCGTGGGTGGCCGCAGGAGGAGATTGGCAGTGGTGAGGTCCCCGTGGATAATATCCTCATCGTGCATCCTTGCTAACAGCTCACCCATCTTCTCTGCTAACTTATGGAGGCCGCTGGCATCACTTCCACTCTTTTGTACAGAATAAATATGATCCTGAACAGTAATTGAGTCTACAATGTCTTCAAGATAGATGGAATTGGTAACATAATCCACAAAGTAGACCGCTGGCGCTGGAATCCCTATTTAAAAGAACAAATCAAATGCTAGCAGTTAATTTACATAATTCCCAGCTTCATTTTAACAAAACACAACCGATAAAAGCTTCAAGCAGAAATGCCAGTTGAGATCACACCCAGCCACTGGTGATGCACCCCTAGGAGTGGCCTGGCCAACACTCAATCCAAGCCATCTGCACAGCCCCGCGGCTTTACAAGGATTTGGCAGCTCAGCCCCTCCTGGGGGAGCCTCCCCGATAAAACGCGCTCTGGGACAACCCGAGGGCAAGATGAGCTTCAGGGGCACCCTGAAAGAGCAGAGCGCGTCGCCCCGGCCTCGGAAGGAGCCCCCGCATCCTTCAGGACGGCGCTGAGTGCCTGAGATCCGCTCTGAGCGACCTGAGGAGCCGGGGTGCTGGGTGGGGCTCACATTGTAAGCCCGTGTGTCCTGCCCCGGGGTGTGTCTGTCTGTCTGTCCGCCCCGCCAGGCAGCCCCGGCGCTCCTGCCCGCCCCCGTGCCCACCTGCCCGCCGGCACCGCAGCAGCGAGCGCGCCTCCTGGGCCATGCGGCGCCGGCTGAGGCGCTCCTCCAGCGCGGGGTGTCGGTAGCGCTTCGGGACGCGGAGCTTGGCCACGGCGGCCCGGCCGAGGAAGAGCCCGCGGTACACGTGCGCCTCAGCGCCCTGCTGCACCAGCCGCAGCCCCGGCAGCGCCGGCGGCGCCGGCGGCTCCTCCGCCACCACGGCGTCGCCCGCCCCGCATTCCGCACCGTCCGCGGCGGGGCCCGCGTTCCCCAGCTCGGCCGTGGCGGCGCTTACGGGCCCCACGTCGCCCATGGCAGCAGGGCCCGCGGCTCCGGCCATGACCGAACGCGCGCCATCCGCCTCCGTCTGGGCCGCCGCCATCGCTGCGACACACACCGCGCATGCGCGGGGCGCCTGTTCGGCAGCACTCGGTAATCTCCGGCCATACTCGGCAGCGCTCGGTGACAGGTGACGGAAAGCTACGAAGTGCCGAAGCGCCGCCCGGCTGTACCGCTCGGCCGCCCCCGCTATAACGCGCTTTGTCCCGCTTTCTTCCTGGGGCTGCCGGCGCTGCTCCTTCCAAACCTCCAAACCCCTCCCTGTGCTTCCCCCCGGGAGCCCTGCTGCCCTCTCCTTGCCTCTGGGTAACTGCAGCATGGTGGGACTCCATCCCGAGCATCCCCGAGCCGGCGCGCCCTCCCGTGGATTTGCCGGTGCAGGAGCGAGACCTGAAGCCGGCCCGCAAGGGAGATGTTGGATGTGTTTCTTCCCGATGTGGCAAGTGGGAGCTGGTGGTTCCCCCGAGGTTCTCCCAGCATCACTGTGGATCCCCCCTCCAGGGTTCCACGGATGTTCCATCATCCCTGGGACACCGCAGTCACGCTGTCACCCCCACCACTGGAGCGTCCCCGTGGAGAATCCACCTCTGGGACATCACCACCAGCATGGTCCATCACCGCCTCTTCGTCTTTCATGTGCCAAAAGCCTCTGCTGGAGCCCGTGCAGACGCATGGCAGCTGCCCAGGTGTGGCTGGGAAGGAGAAGGGGTTTGCCCCTAAGGATCCCTGACAGGATCAGCACCTGCAGCAGGGCGTGCTGTCACCTCGGGTCCCCACGCTGGGCACCACCAAAGCGCCTGCCCCAGCTCTGCCATGGACCACTCATGCCATGATTCGGGTCACTCCTCCTTCCTCCAGCAGCTAAGTCCCACATTGCCATCTTATTAAGAGGTGGATAAACCTCATTATCCTCATCAACTTCATTGGAGCAGTTCTTTGGTTTTTATGGCACCCTGAAAACCCACTGCCCCACTGGGTGACCTGTGCATGCTGCAAATATGTTCCTCAGAAGATACAAGAGAATTCAGCCCAGTCCATGTCAATATGTTTTCAATTGTTGCTTTTGGACGTGCCTCAAGTCCATTTTGTCTTTGTTTTCTCACTCACAGCATTTGTTTCCTTTTCAGAACATTTATATTTTATTAACACATTCCACACAGCTTACATGTCATTGCACGGTGGGATCATGCCTGGCAAATATTTATCTTGCTTCAGTGACAACTTTTAAACAACCTTCCTGAGGTTTCAATGATACAGATAATCCATCCTGCAATTCTGCCCACCCGTGGCACCCTCCTGCAGCTGTGGCAGGGCTTCCTCAGGGAATTGGGTGAATTCTCTGTGGCTGGAATTTGCAAATGCCTCAAACACTCAAATAAAGCAAAAGGTTTTCCCTGTGTTGTGAACAGATTTTATCAGAGCATCTGTGCACAAATACCCCCATAAACACACATATACAGCCTATAAGTGCACACACATAGCCTTGGGTTCATTATTCTGGCAAACATGATGGTTTTCTCTCATGCTGACTAAAACCTTCTCCAGAGCTTTCAAAATATGAAAGAAAATATTTTTGCTTTATTCTCCCCTTTATTTTATTTATTTAAATTTTATCTTCCCTGTGATTTCACTTATTCTTTTCTCTTTTAAAGAAATAAACAGTTGACATAGCCCTTGGAAACTAACTAGAGCCATTTACAATATTTATGGTATCACCCAGTATTTTTATTGGAATATGGAATCACCCCAGAGAACTGCTCTGACTGGTAAATGGTTTCATTATGTAACTTTGTGCTCCTGGTGACAAGCATTTACAAACTCTCCTTTCACAAACAATGTAATTAAGTTAAAAATTGCAGCCCAGCAAACAAAGCTAATGGGAATCAAGACAGGTCTCGTGGGCTCCTCCCTGCCGTCCCACAGATCCCTTGGCATCATATTCAGCCCTGGAAGCAGCTCTCCCAGCTTATTTAGGGATGGAGCCTGCCATCCTCTGAGCTGGACACATGGAAAAAGGGATGAGTTTGATTTGTTGCAGGGTGCCATGCTGGAGGCATCCCTAAAATGTACAAGGGAACAAGATTTCTGGTGGGATCAGCATTGCCAGGGAACCCCTGGGTTAGGACATCCTAACAGAAAACACCTGCAGCCTGGCATCAGGAGGAGAACCTCTCTGGGATGTAAATGAACGTGCAATAAATGCAGGTTGCTGTGAGCTGGCTCCATCCAGGCCAGCTGTGACACTTCTGCCAGCTCAGGGGCCATCATTCCATCAAGAACTGAATTGAGTTTGGTCACTTTGTTCCCCTGAGCCCCTACCTGAGGGTCAACCATAATAGAAAAAAATACTCTTGAGAGTGTGGTGAGGATTCTTTCTCCTGTTGTATTTGTATTTCAGTTCGTGATTTTACAGCCTCTTTCAGCTGCTGCAGCTCAGAGGTAGAAGGTAACATTTCCAGCAATCACAGGCAGGTGGTGGTGCCAAACACAGGCTGCGGTTCCCGAGGCAGAGCTCTCGGGAGCACATTCCTGTGGCTCAGACCTGGGATGGATGTGTCAGCCCTGGGGATGGATATCTGAGCCCTGGGGAGGAGCTGTGCGCCTGCCAGGCAGGAACGCGCCCCGCAAGCCCGGCAGCCAGGATCGAGATAAGGATCAAGATAAGGATCGGAGGGGAAAAGGCACTGCCAAGACACACAGACTGTGGAGGAGGAGGAGGAAGGCATCACAGGAGGAAGCAAGGACAGGAACGTGCCTGCAGGCACGAAGTATTGGTAGATCCAACCCCCCCCGGGCGTTCTCAGGTAGAGCTTAGGGACAAAGGTGCTGGGGAAAAAAACCCAAAACAAACCCCAAAAAACCACCAACAACAACACCACCACCAACAACAACAACAACAAAAAACCCAAAACAAAACAACAAAAAAACCAAACCAGTTTTTTTTATTGAAAGAGCGATAAAGCTCTGGAATGGTCTGCCTGTGGAGGTGGTTAAGTCACCATCCCTGTATGTGTTTAAAAAAAGATTGGATGTGGCACTCAGTGCCATGGTTTAGTTCAGGTGTTGGGGCATGGGTTGGAGTTGATGATCTTGAAGGTCTCTTCCAACCTGGTCATTCTGGGAATTCTGTGAATTCTTTCAGCAGGCCCAGAACACCCACTGGCTACAGAAGGTGTGATAAGAATGCTGTACTTTAAGGACCCCAAAAAAGATTTTTTTTTCCCCCCAAATAATCCCTGTTGCACATCATAGCATGTTTTTACCCTTTTCTCCAGAGGGCAATAACCCACAGCCTCCACAGTGTCCATGTGCAGCTTCATTTCTGTACACACTGATGTCACCTTTTTGTCCTCCTTTGGTAAACACACCATAAAGCTCTTCCTGTGCCCACCAAGACCTCACTTTCTTGTTGTCAGTGCTAATAGTATTTCTTGTCCTGCCGGAGACCAAGAAGCCTCCAGAAAATGTTCAGGTGGCAGAAAAATAAATGCTGAGTGACCATAGAGAAAAATATAATTTATTCCTTCTTGCACTGAAATAATTTCAGAAAGAAGGGATTGTTCAGGCAAATTGGAGATCATGTAGCCAAGAGTAAGTTTGCCCTGAGGCTGATGAGGACTCCAGGTTCTCTCTGGCTTTTTGCCTGGCACGGTGGGGAATAATGAATGAGAGACATCTCATCCAGTTCCTAACACAGCTCACACAAAGTGCCTTGGCTTGAGCTCTGGGGGCCAGAGATCATGGGCAAAATCACTGCATGCCGTGCATCTCCAAATGTGGAACATTAGCCCAGACACAACCATGTAGTGTTTGCTGTCTGCCATGAACTGGTTCAGCTTTCAAGTGGCCACCCCGTTCTTATCTGGTTTCTGTGGCTTTCCAGCCAAGCTACCTAAAAACATGAATAAACTGTCAATTGCTTGTGCACTTTCTGGAGGCTTCCTTGTCTAGAGACAGCTGCACAAGAGCAGCTCTGCTGGCAGTGAGGAGATTTCTGTTCCTCCAGTGAGACAGGCTGGGGACAGAGCTGACATTCCAGCCACCACAGCCACATCCTCATTTCTGGACTGTGAAAAATGTGTATTTTATGATTAGCTTTTTGCAAATATTAAAATGAATATTATATGTGTTGTGTTAGAAAGTAATGCTGTATTCTTTTAAGCAGTGTGTTAAATATAATTTTAGGTTATAACAAAATGTTAAAATAGAAGCTATGCTATGTAAGATATTTTTTCCTAAAGAAAGGATTCGCACTGATATAGCAGCCACAGGACACCTGAATCTTTCAGAGAAAGAGAATTTATTGCTCCATTATCAGGAGAAACAAACTTCTTACTTCTTCCCACCTCTCTTGGGCAGGATGACACCATTAGGATTATGAGGAAGAAGCTGACGATGACCAGATTGTGTTTGAATGGAATTTCTGCATTATGTATGAGATGTATGAATATGCAACAGGTTATTGTTTTTAAGGGTTAATCCTCTGTTAACGGCTGTCCTTTTTCAGGCTTATGCTGCCCAGAAAAAGGTACCCGGACTGTCCATAACTCTTTGTTTCTATTGTCTCATATTGCCCTAATCCAAATTGTCCACATTATTATTACTCTAACTGTATTACTATTTTTATAACATTTTATTAATATTAAACTTTTAAAATTTTAAAAACAAGCGATTGGCGCTTTTCACATGCACCAAATCACCGCGCACCTCCGTGTCCCGGCCACCCCTCCGGGCTCCCCCATCCCCGGGGACCCGGCCCCGCTCCCGGCTCCGCTCCGGGGCGGTGCAGCGCCCCCGGGCCGGGACCCCCGCCCCCGAGAGGGGCGGGCAGGGCGCCTACAAGCCCCAGGCTGCCCGGCCGGGGGCAGGGCACAGCGACGTGGCTGCGGCCGCCGCTCCGGCCCCGCTCCGCCCCGCGGCGCTCCGGGGCTCGGCCCCGCCATGGGTGAGTGCGGGACGGGACGGGACGGGACGGGACGGGACGGGGGGACGGAGGGCAGCCGGGGAGGGACGGGAACGCACTGCCCCGGGGAGGAATTTCCCAAAAATAAAAAAGTT